CTCACCTCATGGCTGGGAGAACTGAGTATATCCTGAGTGACTCCCCTGGGGAGGCTTCCTGGAATCTTCTGCTTGGCTTCTGCTGGACTTTTCTCTATGTACCTTTTCTTTGGATGGATCTGTTTTGTTTCCTTGCGTTGAAATAAATCACAGACATACCTATGACCACAAGCTGGGTCCTGTGAGTCCTCATAGTGAGTCATTGGACTTAGGGACCCCCCCCCCAGAGATAAAGTGTGATATAGATATATGTAGGTGCCATTTCTATTACTTCAAGGTCACTGTTCATGTCTTCTGGGGTGTCTAATCTGCTGTCATGCCTATCCAATTAAATTCTAACTTTAGACTAATTTTTTACAACACTCCATTTTGTTTCTGTTATGCCCTCTGTTTCTCTCCTCTATATGCTCATATGTTCTTTTGTATTCTGAAGTATGTATGCATATTTCTCATCGCTGATAGCTGTTTTAATGTCTTTGCTAATTGTACATTTCCATCACTTCTTTTTTTCTTTTTTCTTTGGGTCCGGTCGTGTGGCCTGAACTCTTGGGCCCGGGCGTTGTCCCTCAGCTCTTCAGCTTAAGGCTAGCGCTCTACCACTTGAGCCACAGCACCACTTCTGGCTTTTTTCTTTTTGCTTATGTGGTGCTGAGGAATCGAACCCAGGGCCTCAGGCATGCAAGGCAAGCGCTCTACCACTGAGCCACCTTCCCAGCCCCTCCGTCACTTCTGAGAATATATCTGGCTAATTTTTCTTCTTGTTAAGTGTCATTTAAAAAATTATTTGTCAGGCTTTTGATAGGATGCTAGACATGTGTTTTCCTTTATGGGATACTCTATTTTGTTCCATTCCTTAAAGGAATTTGACTTTTCTAGCAAGCAGCTAATATAGGTGAACTTTGTTTTTAGGTTCATCTAGGCTGCCGCATCTTTAGGAAGAATCTATCTAGCTTGGCTTTGAAACATGGTTTTTCTGGGTATCTTTCAAATGCTCTGTGTGGTCAACCCGATCGCTACTGAGTCTACGGGAAATGGATGGAGGGGCTGGTAGCTCTCTTAACCCTAGGAATTGCTCATTTGACAATTCCCTGAGCTCATTCTGTGCCTAGAAGTTGTTCTGATCTGAACTTTAGAGGTTTTCTCCTACACATGTGAAGAGAGCAATATTCAGCTGAAGATTCAAAGGGTCTCCTATGCAGTATTTTGGAATTATTCTGCTTCTCCTTCTAACTGTCCTTCTGTCTTTCTCATTCAGACTGCCTCAGCCTTCACTAATTCCAGGCATTTTATCCTCACCCAAAGATTGCTGCTCTCTGTTTGGGTTTTCATTCTCCAAATCATTATCCAGAAATTGCTTCCCAACAAAAGAATCGTATCATTCCTTTTCCCCCTTGATAGAGTCTGTCCTGCACTGACTGCTGCTAGATATTTGAAAATACAAGGAATAGAAAAGTCAGGAGTAGTGGCACACTCGTGTAATTCAGGCAATTTGGTAGGCTGAGGCAGGTAGCTTGATTCATCACATAGAGAATTGCTATCTTAAAGACCAAAAAAAAGTATATGTAATATACTGCCATTTTCTTATGAAAAATATATATGTTTATATTATGAAATGCAGTGACAGTATAATGTCCTACTTTAAAAAATAATTACTTGGATTTCTGATTCAAGTCATGAAAGAGAAATGGAATCTGGAATTCTTTTTTTTTTTTTTTTTTTGGGTCCGGTCATGGGGCCTGAACTCTGGGCCTGGGCACTGTCCCTCAGCTCTTCAGCTCAAGGTAGCGCTCTACCACTTGAGCCACAGCACCACTTCCGGCTTTTTTTATTTTTGCTTATGTGGTGCTGAGGAATTGAACCCAGGGCCTCGGGCATGCAAGGCATGTGCTCTACCACTGAGCCACCCTCCCAGCCCTGGAATCTGGAATTCTTATCCCAGTGTAAACAACTAGAAAACTGGGTGGAGGGGATAATTCATGTAGGTAATTAACACCATTCCTTATAGCCAGGTAATACTCCATTTAGTGGGTATATTACTCTTTATTAAACTAGTCCCTGGGGGCTGGGAAGGTAGCTCAGTGGTAGAGCACTTGCCTTGCATACCTGTGGCGCTGTGGCTCAAGTGGTAAAGCACTAGCCTTGAGCTGAAGAGCTGAGGGACAACGCCCAGGCCCAGAGTTCAGGCCTCAAGACCGGACCCCCTCCCCCACAAAAAAATAAACTAGTCCCTGATTGAACACTTGGGTGATTTTTAAAATTTTTGCTACTGTAACTAGCACTGAAATTAATAACCTTGAGAAAAATGCTTTTATAGGTTTACCAGTATATATGAGATAAAATTTTTCAAGTAGATTAAAATTTTGGTAGATATTAACATAGTTCCCTCTACAAGTTTTAGTTGTTGTTGTTGTTGTTTTGAAAGTCTGTTCCTAGGCCTCTTTGTGCTCAAAACTAGTGCTCTACCACTTTAGCCACAGCACCACTTCTGGCCTTTTCTGAGTAATTTATTGGAATAAGGGTCTCATTGACTTTTTCTGCCCAGGCTGGCTTTGAACCACTTTGAGATCTGAGGAGATCTCAGCCTCCTAAGTATCTGGGACTACAGGTATGAGCCACCAGTGCCCGAGCTACAAGTGTTTTTTTTTTTTTTTTTTTTTTTTATCACATTTATTCTGCAAGAAATGAAAGTGTTTATTTACCCCCAGTTTCACAAATAAAGTGTTCTCAAACATCAAGATATTTGTCAACATGTAAAGAAAAAAGTGTCATACTAGTATAATTTTAATTTGCACTTACTATGAATAGGGTTGAGTTTCTCTTCATACAGGAAAGAGCTCCCTGTATTACCATATTTATGAATTGCCTAAGATGACATCTTATGTTTTCGGTCTAGTTTCCTTGTGGTGCATTTGCCACGGAAATACTTTTTTTTTTTTTTAATATAATCAAGTGTAAAGAATTGGTTCAAGTGGAAAGCATGTTCCTATCAAATAAAAGTCCTTGAGTTCAAACTCTAGTACTAAAAAAAAAAGGTTAAAAAAGTTTATCTTTAAAAAAATTCATTCCTAGTTCTGAAAATTATTTTCATTCCAAGGTTGAAAAATATGCCTGTATATTTATTAAGTACTCAATACTCTCATTTTTTACAGTTAAGCCTCTTAACCATTTGGAATTTTTCCTGGTACGAGGTGTGGGGAACGGATCCAATTTTATCCCCTGTGTTGACTTTGAGTTGCCCCTTTCCTCTGAACTCATCTGTAAAGATGGCAGACTTTAGATACCAATGGGCACTCAGGTTACTATTTCTCAGTTGGTAATGCCCCTAAGACACACTAGCCCATGGCATTTACTAGGAACTGAACTTAGCATTAGTGCCAGTCTTAGTAAGCAGCTTGAGAGGCAGATTAATCTTTCAGGCCTTACCTGTTTGGAAAGTACAATAAAGTCACAAAAAGGAAACTATTCTTACTACCTGGTACAACATCTTGAAATGTAATCTGCATGTTTCTTTGACCTTTTCCACAGGTCTCATTAATCATTATTTGGAAAATCCAAATCCTATTACTGTTATTTACTTTACAGTGTGAACTGGCCTTCCTCATATTGATGTATTTAGCATTCCAGAGGTCTCTGGAAATGTATACATCCGCTCTCATTCTAAAGTGGGTACTTTTTTTTTTTTGATTGTTGTTCAACAATCCAGGCACTCCTCTCTGTCTCTTATTCTCTTTCTCTGTGGCTCCCTTTAAAAGAACAGAATGTCACTTAATTAACCTTTTTCATCTGTGGACAATAATTTTCCACTCATCTTCTGTCTTTGGCTTATGATACTGGTGTGTGTGTGTGTGTGTGTGTGTGTGTGTGTGTGTGTGTGTGTAGGATTGTAAGATCAACAATGAGAAACACGGTAGTTGGAGTTAATCAATTACTTCTTCGTGATAACAGTGCCGGCTATTGGAAATTTTAAAATGAAAAGCACCATCATCTGTCCTGATAAATTTAGCTTGCTAGTTCTAAATTTAGCGTCACTGTTACTTATAAGCCACCCTCCAGGTTAGGCCTGTTGTTACTCCAGCCTCGTTCCACGTGGGCCACCCTGGCGCTTCCAGTATCGCAGGAGGTGTCAGCCGGGCGATCCCGGGCCGGGAGGGTCCGGTCGGGGGCGCCGTGATCACGGGGAGCTCTTCACAAGTCTCAGGGGCTGAGTCGGGGCCACGTTCGAGTCTTGGCTCGAGAGACTTTTTGCACTGTCTTGCAGTCGCACGCACACGCGAGGCTTCCTGGGGACTCCGGGTGTCCCTAGGTGGGGCGCTTGGCTCTGGGCGCGGCGCCCTGGGGGCGGTGTGTGGGGGGATCTGAGGTCCAGGATCCCAGCGTGGTGGGTTCCGTCTGGGCTTGGGCTTCCCAGCAGCGCCCTCCCCGGGGGCGGGCCCTGGCTCTCCGTGCCGCCACGAGTGGGCGGCCAGGGGCGGGTGGCAGAGAGGACGATCGGCTGCTACGAGCGTGCAGCCTAAGCGGCCACCGTGATCGGAAGAGAAGCCAGGCCAGGCGGGGGTGGCGGAGGAACCAGAGCCGAGGAACGGGGAGCCGCCGCCGAAGCGGGAGGCGGAACCTCTGTGTGGGCTGGAGCCGCCGCCGAGGTTCCAGGACGCCGCCCGCGGAGCCCTCCCGCCGCCCCGTAAGGTGCTCGCCAGGTGGCTCCCCACTCCGAGGGCGCCCGGGACGGAAGGAGCCCCGCGCGCGCGCGCAGGGTGCCAGGGCGCACGGCACCCCCAGCGCGGCGCCCTTGAGCCGCACCGAGGTGCAGGTTTGCCAGCCGAGTTGTCCGGCCGCCAAGAAAAGGAAGCGCTGTCCCTTCCCGCTCAGCCCGGCCTCCCCGCCCCGTGTACTCTACACCCTGCCGCGGCCACGGAGGCGCCGAGGAGGGGCGAGCCGCCGCCGGGCTGCGGCGCGGGCCCGGCGGACAGAGCGCCCGAGAGGAGGCGGCGGCGCGGCGCGGGCGAGGGCGCGGCGCGCGATGGCAGCCGCCTAGCCCGGCGGGCGCGGAGCAGCCCCGAGCTGTGGCTCGTCAGACGGGGCGGCTGGGCCGGGGACACGGGCGTCGCTGCAGCCCGGCTAGCAGAGATGGGCACCGAGGCTGGCGAGGACATCACCATCTCCTTGCCGCCCTTCGCCTCCTCGCGCTTTTGCGCCTTCCTCGAAGGCGGCAGCTGCCGGAGGGGAGGAGCGGCGACGGCGACCACGACGGCCCTGGGTGAGCCGAGCCCGCTGCCGCCGCCGCCGCCACCGGGCAGCTTCTGGAATGTGGAGAGCGCCGCCGCCGCTCCGGGCGCCACCGGCTGTCCGGCTGCCACCCCCGGGAGCAGCGCCACTCGGGGCCGGGGCAACTCCAGCAGCGGGGGGAGCCGCAGGACCACGGTGGCGTACGTGATCAACGAGGCCAGCCAGGGGCAGCTGGTAGGGGCGGAGAGCGAGGCACTGCAGAGCCTGCGAGAGGCGTGCGACGCGGTGGGCGCCACCCTGGAGCCCCTGCATTTTGGTAAACTGGACTTCGGGGAGACCGCGGTGCTGGATCGTTTTTACAATGCAGGTGAGTGTGTTGAAACCTGGTCATCTTGAGGGAAGTTTGTCTTTGGGGGAAGGGGGTGTCTCTTCCTGGCCCGTGAAACATGCTTTCAACTTTCTTGCCTCTCACGCAGCGGGGACCGAGCTGCGTGTCGACTCCTGGCGCCCCGCGCTCCCGGGAGAGTGTGTACTCATGCCAGAGGCAAACGGTATTCGTGCAGGAGCCGGCCTCGCTGACCTACCCACGGCCTGGTGCTGGAGCTTTAGGGGGTCGTTGGTTTGAAGAGCTGTTCAGCTGAGTGAGATTTCTTGCCCCCCCCTTTCCCCAGATAGTCCTTCACTTGGTGCCAAACACCTGTGACCCTTTCCTCTGTGTAGTTCTGGGGGTGCTGAAGCAATGACTTGTGCCAGCCAGCCAGCTGCAGCCAGAATGTAGATGAATTTGCATGACCTATTCTATTCTTTCTCATTTTTTCCCTTCAAGTCTTAATGGCTTGAATTTCCCACCTCCTACCCACTTGAACTCTCAAGTATTGCTTTCCCAACTAATAATATTGTGACTAAATGAGTTTGACTATCTGTGTTAGGATCTAGTTCTCTAGTAGTCATCTTCTTATTCCTGCCACATAGAAGGTGGTCTGAAAAGTTTATAATCGTTTAAACTGTTGATATGCTATCTTAATGACTAAGATGAGCTTAATGAAGGTGATTGTTAGCATAATCCATTAAAAAAAAGTATCTTTCTCAACCTATTTCAGATTCATAAAGTGTTTGGTTGTTCTAGTGACCGAAGCAATTAGCTGTCTGTTAGCAAATGTTAACTGATAACATGTTACTGAAATTAACTGTTAGCACCCTGTAATCCAGTGTGGAGAAGACAGACATTTATTTTTATAATTGTGGGTGGGAAACCTGGCTTGAGAATTTCAAGGCAATAAGCTTCGGCGTTTATGATTGCATGCAAGGTTTTATATTTCAATCTTATTTTCAGTTCCAGTTCTCTACAGCCTGTTCAAAACACCTGAAGTAGGCTTATGTAGGTTTTGGAATTCAGCCAAAGCTGAATATTTTAAGAACAAGAACTTCATGTAAGGAAGCCAGACTAAATAAACGAGGACTTTTTGGTTTTCGTATTTTTTTTAACAGTCTTGGTTTTTCATAACTAAACATGAGTATATTACATCTTGGTTCTTTGGTGGCTTGCTTTAAAAATTACATAAACATAACCATAACTTTTCTAAAAATTATAGCATTCTTATTTTGGATTATAATTTGGAAGAAGCTTCAAAGAATTGAAAGATATGAGAGAGAAAAATATTCAGCTAAGTCTTTTTTTAATTTTAATATTTTTATTGTGAAAATACTGTACAGAGGGGTTACAATTACATGGGCAAGATAATAGTACATTTCTTATCAAGCATTGTAGCCTCCTCCTTTGTTTCCCCTTCCCATCTCTTCCCATCCCCCCCCACCCCCCACCCTCAGCTAAGTCTTTAAAACTATGTTTATTGCCCTAATAGATGGGGAGTTTTTTTTTTTTTTAATTCTAGAGCTATAGAAAAACATCTTAAACTCTAAGCTTGTTTGAAATAAACTTTCCTAACAAGACTTTCTTCTGTTGTTCTCCAAATACTTCCTGCCTGTGGGAAAGAAAGGGAGGGCAAAAGGTTACCAAGAGCTGATATTTGAATTGTATCTAATTTATTCTCCAAGCAGGCCTGGGAAAAGAGTACTACTTAACTTTCTATGTGAGAAAAACAAGGGATCCATCACTGGTCCTGGGGTTCCTAGGTGGTAACCGGACAATACAGGATTCCAGTGTGGCCCTGGCTACCTCCAGTTAGGTGGCTGATTTAGTCCTAGAATCAAGGAATGCCTCCCATTTGGGGATAATGGACTGGAAAATTAGGAAAGATCTCTTTTCTCTTTTTAAAAAATTAGCATATAAATAAATTGTATAAAAGGGGTTTCATTAAGATCTTCAGGGGTACATAGGTGCAGTGAGAAATAGTAGAGAGGGAATGCCTTGGGAAAGCCCTTGTTGGGGGCCAGCACCCTCCCACCCCCCTGATTCTTTCAACATGAGCAGGCCTGCAATTAACCCTTGCCCATCTGGACAATATGGATCCTGAAACCTCTCATGCAGCATGAAGGTGTGATAGAATGAGGATGGTATCAGTTTTGCTCAAAGCCTTTGTTTTCCATAACGAGGGTACTGAGGTCTCTCAGTAGTATAACTGTGTTCTCTTAATATTGAAGAGAGGGTCTGTTATTCTTACAGCAGGGGTGGCAAACTTTTTTCTATCAAGGACTAGAGAAGTGTGTGTGTGTGTATGCACATGTGCGTGTGCTGGTACTAGGGCTTGAACTCAAGTGTAGGCATTGACCTTTCACTTTTTCACTCAAGGCTGGTGCTCTATGTTTGAGCCACAGCTCCACTTCTGGCTTGTTGCTGGTTAACTGCCAGGCTGGCTTGGAACCAGAATGCTCAGATCTCAGTCTCCTGAGTAGCTAGCATTTTAGGTGTAAGCCACCAGAGCCTGGCCCAGATAGTAAACACTGGATATTTTATAGTCCTTGAACAGAGTTCTTCTGTGAGAACCACCAGCAACAATACCTAAACAAATTATTGTGGCCATGTCTCAAAAAAGCTTTATTAATGGACACTGTAATTTGAATGTCATAGAATCGACAGGATATTATTCTTTTGATTTTCCTTCATCTATTTAAAAATGCAAAAAAATAAAAAAGTGTTTAGCTCGCAAGCTGTGCCGAATTAGGAATTGCAGATCGCTGCACCATTGCTGGGCGTTCCCCCACACTATCTGCCCTTGAACATTGGGTCACTCCAGTGTAGTGAGCAGAACACTGTCCCTCCCGGTGTAGATGAGTCTTCATCCCAATTCTGCTGTGAATCATGGGTTGTTAGAAAGGCTCCTCCAGCGCAGAATCTGCCTGGAGAGTTAACCACAGGTGGAAATAGAGGAGAACTGAACTAAATTCCTAAGAGTGCTGGGTATCCTGTGAATTTGCAAAGGCATAGCAACTTGGCAAGCCAGGCTGAAGTATCAGAACAGGAGATTCAACGTCTTAGCTCTTCTCTGATTTTTTTTTTTTTTTGGTTGTGGGGCTTGAACTCTGGGCTTGGGCGCTGCCACTGCGCTCTTCAGCTCAAGGTGAGCGCTCTATCGCTTGAGCCACTGGGCCACTTCCGGTTTTCTGGTGGTTAATTGGGGATAAGAATCTCATGGACTTTCCTGCCTTTGAACCATGATCCTCAAATCTCAGCCTCCTGAGTAGCTAGGATTACAGGCGTGAGCCACTGGTGCCCGGCTCTTCTCTGATTTGGAAAGAGTTATTTAAAATCTCAGAACAGTAGAACCTTGGACTAGTTGGCAATTCCTTCTAGCTCTTAAGTTCTATGCTTTATAATTTTGCTATTTTTATTATTACAAATGAATTGTCTCACTTCGTAGTGGTTCATGAACTGCTGGTATAAATCTTATCCCTGACTCTGAGGAATTCAGGGTTGGTAGAGAGGTGGACTCTGTGCTTGTCTGTCACAGTGCCTATGTGAGTGTCCCACAGAAGCCTTGGCTTCCCAGGATACAGCTCCAGAATCAGAGTGTGGATAGGCAGATTCAAGGTGGTCACATTGCAAAGGGGGTAACCCCTAAAACCAGTAAGCAAAGAAGAAGCAACCAGGCCTAGCATTTCAAAGGAAGACAACAATGCCCAAGTAGCTCAACGTTATGGAATGCATAGTTTAATAGTACTACATATTTTTATAGCCTTTCGCTACCTGTGTGTATTGGTGTCTTTATTTTTCTAGGCCTGAACTCAGGGCCTTGCACTTACTAGGCAAGTACTCTACTTCTTCAGTCACACCCCTAGCTAGTTTTGCTTTATTTTTCAGGTAGGGACTCATGCCTTGGACCAAGCTCTTTCTACTTCTACCTCCTAAGTAGAGCATGGACAACCACACCCAACTGTTTACTTTTAAAACAGCACAGCTATTTTATCTTTCTAGAGAATAGATTGCAGCTGGGCACAGTGGCTCAAACCTGTAATCCTAGCTACTTGAAGAGGTAGAAATCAGAGGATCACTATTTGAGGCCAGCGTGGGAATTAAAAACTAAGACATTTGCAAGACTCCCATCTCAGTCAATGACGGTTAACCCAGTTACAGGGAAAGTCAGTGTTTCTGGCCTGCCATCCCAGGGAACATATTCACAGAGGTGCACAAGAACGAGGGTCACAGCCCAGGCCAGCCCTAGCATAAAGAAAGACCCTACCTTGAAAGTGACCAGTGCAAAAAAAGTGGTAGAGTATCCTCCTAGCAAGCACAAAGCTCACGTTCAGAAACTAGTACTACCACCCCCCCTAAGAAAAATATACATTGTAGTGAAAGGTTTTTCACCGACACAGTTATTACATAAGTGTATTTTGATTTGTTCATTGACTATACTTGTCAATCTCATTGTAAGAGGTAAAATGAATGCCCTGTTAACACTTTTTTGGAGATCCATCTTTACACACAAGATACTATCACTCAGATGTACCATGCCAGCAACCAACAGTACTACTCTCCACCCCCTGCATGGCAGCAGTGAGATTCTGCAAACATCAAGAGATGAGAGTTGCCAGTACCACACACTGCTCAGACACCAACTGGCCAGATTTCAAAGAAGAAAAAAAAAGAGGTTGACTAAATACCCAGTCTCTGAAAAATAGCTGGAATAGGCCTTACTATTCTCTCATTTTACTTATGGGAAACATGGAACCATAGTTATATGCATTCATTCAAGTTAAATGATTTAAGATTGCTGGTTAAAATTAGAAGTAATTTTTTCCCCTTACAAACAGTATTACAAGTGATAGATTCTGGGCCTAGTCTACAAGACACTTTCTTAACAACTCAGTATATGGAACCCATTCAGGAGTATTCTGTTTCTAAAACCTCAAGCTGTGACTTTGAATACACCTAACATTGTGCTAGACCAATGACTTTTGCTTTGAAGTAAT